CATGTGAGAGTTGGACAGTGAATAAGGAAGGTCGTAGAAGAATTGATGCATTTGAGTTATGGGGTTAGAGGAGAATATTAAAAGTACCATGGATTTTTAAAAAAAAAGAACCAATAGATCTGTGCTGGAAGAAGTACAGCCAGAGTGCTCCTTGGAAGCCAGGATGGACAGACTTCATCTCTCATATTTCGTTCGATATAAACAAGAATATTTGTGGGTGTCCTTGCAAGGGAACTCCATAAATACACACACACATTAAGTGTCTGTATACAATGTGTACAAATGTGTGTGTTCATGAAATCCTCAGACATGCACACATACAAACACATACATTTGTTGTCGGTCTGACTCCTAGTGACCCTGTGCACAATAGAAGGAAACACTGCCCGGTCCCGCACCGTCCTAACAATCACTGTTACACCTCCCAGTCCCGCACCCTCCTGACAATCACTGTTACACCTCCCTGTCCTGCACCCTCCTGACAATCACTGTTACACCTCCCTGTCCCGCACCGTCCTCACAATCACTGTTACACCTCCCTGTCCTGCACCCTCCTGACAATCACTGTTATACCAGAGCCCATTGCTGCCACCACTGTGCCAATTCATCTCTTTGGGGTACTTCCTCTTTTTCACTTATCTCCAATTTACCAAGCATCCTGTCCTTCTCCAGGAACTGGTTCCTCATAATAAAATATCCAAAGTACAAGAGATTAAATCTCTCTATCCTGGCTTCTAAGGAGCATTCTGGCTACACTTCTTGCTAGCTAGATTTGTTTGCTCTGCAGTCCATGGGGTTTTCAATATTTTATAGTAACACCATAACTCAAATACATCAATTCTTCTACAGTCTTCCATATTCACTGTCCAACTCCACATATGTGTGAGGCTATTGAAAGGACCATGGCTAGGGTCAGGTGTACCTTAGTCCTCAAACTGATATCTTTGGTTTTGAACACTTTAAAAGAGATTTTCTGAAGCAGATATGTCCATTGCTTTCTTGAATACTGCTTCTATGAGTGTTGAATGGATGACTAGAGCAAAATGAAGTCTTTGACAACTTCAATCTTTTCTCCATTGATATGGATGTTGTTTATTGGCCCAGTGGTGAGGATTTTTGTTCTCTTTACGTTGAGGTGCAATGCATACTGAAGGCCATGCTCTTTGATCTTCATCAGTAAGTATTTTTAGTCCTCATCACTTTCAGCAAGCAAAGTTGTATCATCTGCATATCGCAGGTTGTTGATGAGTCTTCCTCCAATCCTGATGCCATGTTTTCATTCATATAACCCAGCTTCTCAGATTATTTGCTCAGCATACAGGTTGAATAAGTATGGGGAAAGAGTATAGCCCTGGTGCACACCTTTCCTGATTTTAAACCATTCAGTGCCCTTTTTTCTGTTTTAACAATTTCCTCTAGATCTATGTACAGATTCCTCATGAGCACAATTAGTTGTTCCAAGATACTTATTCTTTGCAATTTTATCTATAGATTGTCATGATCCACACAGCTAAAAGTGTTTGTATAGTCAATAAAGTACAGATAAGCATCTCTCTGGTATCCTCGACTTTCAGTCAAGATCCACCTGCCATTAGCAATGCTATCCTCTACGTCATCAGAATCCAGCTGGCATTTCTCTGTCGATGTGCTATTTCAGCCAGTTTTGAATTATCTTGAACAAAATTTTACTTGCATGTGATAATATTGATGTTGCTCAAGAATGTCCGCATTCCATTGGGTCACCTTTCTTAGGACTGGGCACAAATTCAGATCCTTCCCATTGGTTGGCCGGGTAGCTCTCGTCCTAATTTCTTGGTCATCGATGAGTGAGTGCCTCCAGTGCTTCATCAGTTTGTTGAAAGATTTCAATTTGTAGTCCGTGAATTCCTGGTGTCTTGTTTTTTCACCAATGCCCTCAGTATAGCTTGGACTTCTTCCTTTTGAAATGGTTGAACAATGACCATTTCTTTTTGGTAGAGTGATTCTAGTGTTTCTTCGATCTTCTTTTGATACTGTCTGCATCATTCACTATTTTTCCTTAGACTCCTGCAATATTGCAGGATTTTTTTCTCCAATTCCTTCAGCTTGAGAAATGCTGAGCATATTCTTCCCTTTTGTTTTCTAACTCCAAGTCTTTGCACTTTTCCTTTTAATATTTGGCTTTGTCTTCTCAAGCTGCCCTTTGAAATTTTCTGTTCAGCTCTTAGACTTACTCATTTAGTCCATTCACTTTAGCATCTCTATGCTGGAGAACAAATTTCAAAGTCTCTTTGACATCTATTTTGGTTTTTTTTAATCTTTTTAATCACCTTTTTGCTTTCTTCCTGTGTGATATTCTTGATTTCACAACTTTTCTGGTCTTCAATCTTTAGTGTCTAATGCGTCAAATGTGTTTTTCAGATGATCTTTAAATTCAGGTGAGATATGATCAAGGTCATATTGTGGCTCTCCTGGGCTTGTTTTAATTTTCTTCAGCTTCAACCTGAAATTGTATATGAGCAATTAATCATAATCATCTGTTCCACAGACTGCACCTGGCCTTGTTTTGGCTGATGGCATACAGCTTTTCCACCGTCTCTTGCCACAGATGTAGTCAATTTGATTTTTCTGTATTCCATCTGGTGAGGTCCATGTGTATAGCCATTTCTTACGTTGCTTTAAAAAGGTATTTGCAATGAAGAAGCAATTGGTCTTGTAGAATTCTGTCATACTATCTCCAGCATCATTTCTATCACCAAGGCCAAATTTTACAACTACTGATCCTTCCTGTTTGTTTCCAACCTTTGTATTCCAATAGCCAGTAATTATCAATACATCTTTCATCAAATTCGTTTGATCAAATTCAGACTGAAGAAGTCTACCAACTTCTTCAATTTCACCACCACTGGCTTTAGTGGTTGATGTGCAAATTTGAATAACAATGGTATTAACTGATCTTCCTTGTTGGTGTATGGAGTCCTGGTGTGGACCTGGAACATAAACACTAGACTCCAAGTCAGTTTGATCCTCAAGGTTGGCAGTTCAAACTCACCAGTCTGTACTCCTCAAAAACCCTGTAGAGCTCGCTATGAGTCAGAGCCAACTCGAAAGCACTTAACAACAACAACAACAACAACATGGCTTTAGAGCCCTGATAGAGCTGTAGGATAAGCACTGGGCTGCTAAGTGTAAAGTTGGCAGCTCAAATCCGTCAGCCGCTCTGCAAGAGCAAGATGAGGCTTCCTGCTTTCATAAAGATTTACAACCTCACAAACCCTATACAGGAGCTGGAATTGTCTTGATGGTAATGATATAACAGGGCTTTGAAGTTGCTTACCAAAATTCCAACTATTGTGGAGTCTGTTCTGATTCGTGGCCACCCCATGCATGTCAGAGGACAGCTGTGCTCCATAGGGTTTCAGTGGCTGAATTTTCAGAAGCAGATTCCCAGGCCTTTCTTCCAAGATGTCTCTGAGTGGACTCTAATCTCCAACCTTTTAGTTAGCCAAGTGTGTTAACAGTGTGCACCCCCAGAGACCCTCTGCAGAGAACTCCCCATCTCAAATACCCCTGTTCCTCAGAGTCTGTTGGGAATAAAGTGGTACCCAGGAGAGATTCCTGAACTGTGAAGCCAGAACAGCAAAGAATGTTTCTCCAGAGGACTTGGTGCTGCACAGGTGCATTGTTTGCAAAAAACAAAAAAGCAAACTAGAGGCTCAGTCATTTGTTTGTACCACCCAGGGTTGCTAAGTGCCATGGAGTCAGTTCCAACCCATAGCACCCCTGTATAGGGTTTCTGAGGAGGGGCTGGTGAGCTTAAACCACTGACCCTATGGTTCAAATTAATTTGGAATCCAGTGCATTAGCCCACAGAGCCACACCAGGACTCCAAGTTGCATTTATTTAGTGGCTTCAAATACAGAAGGAGCCCCTTTGTCTGCCCTGCTCCCCTTACAAACAGCTGTTCATAGTCTCAGGGCCAGCTCCAGCTACACAGCTGCCTACTTGCCATAGTCTGCCACTTACAGTCTCTTCCCTGTACTCTTTGACAGAACGGTCACCTGGAGACGGTGCGGAGGGAGTTCACCGCATTCAACAGAGAGAGGTACGTCTTCCTCACAGCTCTGCAGAGCCCTCCCATTGGGCCACCACCCCCTGGGAAAACCAGACCCTGGTGACACCAGCCAGAGATGTGGGATGAAGGCTGCTGGGATGAGATGCAGGGCCTCTGGTTTGGGAGTCACATGGGTGGTGGACTGTTTAAAACACTCTTGTTTCTAAACTAAATGTTGAAATTCAAACGCACCAGCCACTCCTCGGTAGAAAGATGAGGCCGTCTGTTCCCGTAACGATTCACAGTGTCAGTAACCCTGTGGGGCGGTTCTGATCTGTCCTATAGGGTCACTGTGGGTCAGAATCCACTCGACTAGGAAGCAGTGGGCTTGGTGGGTTGTGTTCTAATTCTGACTCTGCAGTGTGTCCTGAGTCAGATGCTGACTTAATCTCTCTAGGCCCTGGGGGCGGGGAAAGTCTACCTACAAATGAATGAAGGGTGAGTTGGCACAGGGATGCTGATAAGGAGAGGGGAATGGCAGATGTCGAGCATGGAGACGCATCACCTGGAGTGGATCCTGACAAGTTACCATGACATCACTGAGCCTCGGTTTACATTTCCATAAATCAGACACACTGCATTCTTTCCAACATGGTAAGACTTCACTGAAGCTGTTCATGGCAGAGAACTCAGGAAATAGGACCACTGTTAGCATGACTACTCAGGGTGGCTATGAGTCAGAACTAACTCGACGGCACTTAATACCAACACATTATTTGCTTGGGTACAGTGGTGTGGGCGTGCTGGGACCCCATTGTTGTGGCTGGTCAGGAGTGGGCATCTCTGAGTCTGGGAGGGGCTTAGCTGGGGTCTGCTTGGCTAGGGTTCCTGTCACAGAAATGGATTACCCAATAAGTAAGGTAAGCCTGGGCTTACTTGCGTTTACTCACTTATCTGTGGTGAACAAATCCACCTGAGTTTCACTCTATCATACCTTCCTTACTGTAAGCCGAGGCATAGCATGCTTACTGGTCAGTTTGCTTCTGATCAGAAGGGTTAGGCCTGGCCGAGCCCCCACTAACACCTGAGAACTGCTGGGCACAGTGGAGACCTGGACAGGGCAGGTTCATGGGTAGCAGCTCAGCTCCTGTTGGTGGGACTGCCCTCTTGTCTACACGTACAGATGTGTGGAGAGACGGATCCCTACACAGCCTGCCCTCCAGGAGGGACAGATGGACAAATAGCCAGTTGACCCTTATGGAGCATCAGGGTTTGGCTGTTATTGGCTAACAGCCAATGACATCAGCACAAGGTGGGTAATAGACAGAGGGCAGCTGGGCAGCAGGTGCTCACCGCAGACCAGGCTCACCTGATGGTACATAATAGACAAAGGGCCCAGGATTGGTGGGTGGCTGGGGAAGGTCCCCGCAGTGCTACACCCAGTGCAGATGTGCTGACTCTAAGGTGAAAAGGGGAGAGGGTGGGGTCCCAGGAGCAGAGACAGTGTTCCATGATGGCAGAGTGGTAGAGGTGAGGAGTCTGGGGCAAAGAGGGTTGTCTGGCTTCCAGCCAGCGGGCTAGAGGGCAGGGGAGGACCAGCCTAGAGGACAGCAGCCTGCCACATGTTCGAAGGGCTACAGCTGTGAGACACTCACTCCATGCATGGGCACTCCCTCATGGTTGGGGAACCACACCTCTTTGGTGCAGGAGTGCTGGAAGAGGCTCCAAGACCACAGACTTGGGGAGGTCACCATAATTTCCCTGCCATCCTGCCTGCCCTTTGGCTCCTGGTCCCTCCCCACCCTGAGAAACTCCACCAGGAACTTGGCACAAGCCGCCCTGGGGACTTGGAGCCACAGAAATCCTTGTATCTGGTCCTCTTCCAGCTCAGCTGGGACCAGAGAGACCATGAGAGCTCCTGGAGGGGCAGCCAAGAGCCCTCAGTGCTGGTGACCGGGGCCACGCAGAGCCCAGCGGACAGCTGTAACGTCTCAGTCTGCGGTCCTCAAAGCTCAACAATGTGGACACATATCCTTGTAAAAGAAAATGAGCCCCGATCTTGTATCACCGAGAAGCCCAACTATAGAAACTTTCACCAATTACATGTTCTTTTCCTCCTGCGGAAATGTCAAAGAAGTAGCGTTGCCCAGGCGGGCTGAAGACCCTTTTGAGATCTGCAATTGTGGTTTCTGAAGCAAGATTGGCTCAGAAATTGTGGTTGCTAAGTGCCATCAAGTTGGTTCTGTCTCATAATGACCCTGTATAGGATTTCTGAGGTTGTGCATCTATGCCGGAGCAGAAAATCTCATCTTTCTCCATGGATCAGCTAGTGGGCTGATCCAGTACAGGGATTGTCAAAATAACAAAGAGGGTGGAGGCCATGTGCAGACCAGTGGACTTGAGGGAAAAGCATATGCAGAAACACAGAGGCATGGAAGAGCATGGACCGTGAGCAAGGTGGTGGTTTAATGGCAGAAATCCCACCCTGCATCCAGGAGACCTGATTCAGTTCCCGGCCAGTACACCTCAGGCACAGCCGTGTCCCATCTGCCCATGGACTCCTGTGTATTGTTGCTACAATATGCTGAACAGGAGATCCAGACTAAGATGTGCTAGGAATAAAGGCCTGGCAATCCACCTCCAAAAGTCAGTCCGTGAAAATTCTATGAGTCCCAACGGTCCACCAAGTATGGGACAGCAGAGGACCGGGCAACATCTAGTTCCACTGGACTCCAGTGGACCAATGACAACAAAACTATGGCTTCAGGGGGCAGAGCACACTAGAACCCATAGGGGCTTTTGTGGGCTGAATTGTGTCCCCTAGAAATGCAGATGGGACTCTGTTTGGAAATCAATGGAGGTTTTCTTTTATTGTGTTAATGAAGGTCAAGGTTACCTGTCATCTTGGCTGCTCCAGGATTCTCAGCTAAAACATAGTCATCCGCCTGGCACGATCTAATATAATCCATCACATCCATGATGGGATCTGCTATGGGCAGCCTATCAATTGAAGGCAGGTGTCCTCAAAGTGTGACCTGCAACATGTTTTATCTTATAAAGTTAAAGGGAGGGAGAAGTGAGCAGGGAGGTGGGGTGGGGTGTGGAGTGTGGGTCTGGGGTCCCCGCACTGTGAGGCTCCAAGGTCCAGGGAAAGGTTGATGCCAAGACACACTAGGAAGTCTCCAAGGGATGCTGGGCTTCCAGATGCTGAGAGGAGACAAGCACCGTTCTCCAGAGGCTGGTGCTCTGAATTCAGACTTCTAACCTCCCAAACAATGAGAAAATCAATTTCTGTTTATGAAAGCCACCCTCTTGTGGGATTCCTGTTACAGCAGACTGGAGAACTGAAATGAGGGCATACCAGCATACGGTGGGGTCTGAACCGAATCACTTCTGAGTGATGTCTTCTAAAGGGGAACTCAGACACAGAAAGACAGATACACAGGGGGAGAAGCCATGTGACAACAGAGGCAGAGGCATCTAGAAGGAACACCAAGGACCACACGCAGCCACCAGAAACTAGAGAGAGACCCCAGGAGAAATCAGCATGGCAGAGACCTAGATTTGGACTTATAGGTGCCAGGTGAAAAAAAAAATGTCTGTTCATTAAAGTCTCCCCTTCTGAGGTGTTTCTGTTATGGCCTCCTCAGGACATTGAAGAAATAGGCCTTGCACCGGTGAGTGTGACCTTGTTAGGAGAAATGGTTTTTCTTTGTAAATGGGATCAGTTAAATTCATGGTCATACTGGATGCAACAGTAATTTCTTTTAGAAGGATCAGCACGCAGCTGGTCCCTATGAAGTGGAGGCTAAAAATTTCACAAATCTCCAACTTTCTTGAAGTTGTTGTTGTTAAGTGCCGTTGAGTCAGTTCCACCTCATAGTGACCTTGTGTAGGGTTTCCAAGGGGGTGGTGGGTTTGAATAGCCAACCTTGTGGTTTGCAGTCCAGTGCTGATCCTACAGTGCCATACCAGGAGTCCTAAATTCTCCCCCACACCTCAGGGTGCTGAAATTCACTGCAGCATCTCAAAGGGCAACAGACCATCAAAGAAATAATTTTACATGATCGTGGAGGATTGCCAGTCCCAAATCCACTGTTCAGACATCAGTCTGGAAGATTCTCCTCAATCAACAGCAGAATCCGGCTGTGGATTCACAAGGCCGTGGAAGCTGGCGAATCCAATTAGACCACTGGCTCAAGTCCCAATAACTGGAGATCAGACAGGGGTGAACCTGGTCAGTTAGGCAAAGTAGCACACAGCCCATTCCACAAAATGGCTCATTTTATACCCAGCAGTATGGCTAAAGTAACCAAACCCCTGTGATAGTTCCAAGTTTTTACCATCACGATTAACCCTGTTAACCCACAGCTAAACCATAATTGTAGTTGTTGTTAGGTGCCATCCAGTCGGTACTGACTCACAGCGACCCTAAGCACAACAGAATGAAACACTGCCCGGTCCTGAGCCAGCCTCACAATTGTTGTCACGCTTGAGTCCATTGATGCTGCCACTTGGCCAATCCATCTCACTGGGGGTCTTCCTCTTTTTCTCCGACCCTCCACCTTACCAAACATGACATCCTTCTCCAACGACTGTTCCCTCCTGGCAATATGTCCAAAGTATGAGAGACAAAGTTTGGCCATCCTGGCCTCCAAGGAGCACTCTGGCTGTACTTCTTCCAACACAGATCTATAGTAGCATAGTGGATTACGAGCTGAGCTGCTAACCACAAGGTCAGCAGTTCAAATCTACCAGTAGCTGCTCAAGAGAAAGATGAGGCTTTCTGCTCTCATAAAGATTCACAGCCTTGGAAACCCTGTACAGGGTAGCTATGAGTTGGAACCAACTCCATGGCACATAACTAATCAACCAAACCATATATTCGTGGCAGCATCTTCCCCCACCTTCTCTTACCCACATCCACCAGAAAAGAATTGTTTGATGGCAGTAACAAAGGTGTGGCTTTATTGTTCAGTGCTGTTGGGTCGGTTCTGACTCATAGTGACACTGTACAGGGTTTCAGAGTTTGTAAGACATGGTTGTTGTTGTTGTTGGTGGTGGTGGTGGTGGTGGTGGTGGTGGTGATGTGCCATGGAGTTGGTTCCAACTCATAGTGACCCTGTATAGGGTTTCTGAGGCTGTAAATATTAATGGGAGCAGAAAGTCTCGCTGGGAGTTTTGAACTCCTGACCGTGAGATTAGCAGCCCAATTCATAACTACTACGCTACCAGAGCTCCATGAGGCATGGTTAGAAGAGACCTATTCAATCATTCACTGCACTCCATGGGAGTAGGGTGGGCCCCAGCCCTAATCTCTTCTAAGGGGTGTCTCCTTAGAGAGAAGAGCAGACAAGGAAACACACACAACAGAAGATACCCATGCGGCCACCACAAGAACACAGGAAGCAAACAGAAACGTAAAAAAGATGAGGAAGGACCTTCCCCCAAAGCCAACAGAGAGAGGGTATGGCCCTGCTGATGCCCAAAATTCTGACTCCTAGCGTCCAGCACTGCTTTCTGTTTTTGGTACTATGGAGTCATAGCGACCCTCTTCACAACAGAACGAAACACCAACCAGACCTGCACTATCCTCACAATCGCTGCTAAGCTTGAACCCATTGAGACATGGGGACAGTCCTTCTCATTGGGGTCTTCCTCTTTATATCTGATCCTCCACTTTACCAAGCATGATGTACTTCTTCAGGGACTGGTCCCTCCTTGAGAATGCATCTGAATCTGGTCATCTGGCTTCTAAGGAGCATTCTGGCTGTACTTCTTCCAACACAGATTTGTTTGCTCTTCTGGCAGTCCATGATACTTTTAATATTCTTTTTCAACACCATAACTCAAATGCATCAATACTTTTATGGTCTTCCTTGTTCGCTGTCCAACTTTCACATTTACCTGAGGCTTGGGTCAGGTGCACTTTAGTCTCAAACTGACATCTTTGCTCTCCAACACTTGAAAGAACTGCTAGAAAATAAATATCTGTTCTTCAAAGCATTCAGTCTCCACACCTTTGGAATCAGAAGTGAGGGAGTAGGTCCAGAAAGAACACTTTAAATCATTTAGTCATATTGCAGAACACAGTGTGGCCAGACCGCAAATCGTCTAGTTGCCTGTGAGGAAAGTCTCAGAAATCACGCAGCTAACACTGCATGACCTTCCACATCTTCATCTTCCTTTGTGTTGGTAGTTGTCATTGAGTTGGTCCCATCACATGGCACAACGGAATGGAATGTTGCCCAAACCTGTGCCATCTCCATGATCTGATGTGGGTGGGACCGTTTTGGTCCATAGGGTTTCCATTGGCTGGTTTTTTTTGGAAGAAGGTCACCAGGACTTTCTTCCTAGTCTTAGTCTGGAGGTTCTGCTGAAGTGTGCTCAGCATCCTAGCAAGTCAGCCAATGGCTGCACATAAGTTATATTGGCCAGGAATTGAACTCTGGTATCCTGCATGGGGAGCAAGAATTCTACCACTAAGCCAGCAGGAATGTCAGTGAGCAGTTTATGCAGACTTCCAGAATGAACAATGTGTGAGCTTTACCAACTGTGCAAACTTACACAGATCTCTGTGTGAGGCCCGAATTAGTACCTGGTGTGAAGATCACTCAACAGCAAGGTCGGTTTGAATGGCAAACTCAGCAGTTGAAACACACCAGCTGTTCCTTGGAAACCCCAACCAGCGTTGCTATGGGTTGGAATGAAATCGACAGCATTTAACAACCACAACAGCATTAAGTCACTGGTATGGTGTTATAAGGTAACCACAAGGTTGGCAGTTCAAACCCACCTCGGAAACCCTATACAGGTTGCTGTGAGTTGGAACCAACCCGATGTCATGTGACAACAACTAAGCAACTCAGACTCCTTGTGCTGAGCTGTAGGATCAGCACTGGACTGCAAACCGCAAGGTCGGCAGTTCAAACTCAACGGCTGCTCCTTGGAAACCCTATGTTGTTGTTGTTAAATGCCGTCAAGTCGATTCCAATCCATAGTGACCCTGTATAGGGTTTCCAAGGAGCAGCTGGTGAGCTTGAACCACCGACCTGGCAATTCAAACAGCTTTGCAGTCTGATACATTATTAGTTAGTAGTCGGAGTTGACTCAATGGCACTTAATAACAACAACAATTAAGTAACAAACCCAAGTGCCTGAACTCCTTAGTGATTGGTCTTGGCTTGGAACGTGGGTCCATCTGGCTCCCAAGCCCTCGGTCTTCATGCCTGGCACAGGTGTCCTGGGTCTCCCGCTGCACCCTGCTCCAGGTCACTAACTCACTCTGTGCTGTTTATTTGCAGGCTGAGGAGACAGCAGGGTCAGAGTGGCCAGCTCACAGACACCGATGACCAAGAGGGCAGCCAGGCCCAGGACAAGCTCCAGGATGGATGTAACAACAATATCTTCACCAACGCCTGCTCCCGAGGCTGCAACAGTTAAGTCATCATCTACCACCGACCACCCTGGACTGCGTGTACACTAACAAGACCCCATCCCATCCCTGACAACACTGGATACAGAGAGAGCTCTGGGCTCAGAGCTGGGAAGCCACAAGCATCCCTCCAGCTTTCCATGAGACCTTGGGCAAGTCACGCCCTCTCTGAGCCTCAGTTTTCTGCATCTGTCAAAGGGGCTTCACCAGGTCTCAGCCCCAAATAGAATTCCAAGATTCATGTTAGAATCCAGCTGGATAGCAAACACACAAAACCGTTGACATTTCTCACGTTGCTTATAAAGACTAAACAGACCCTTGAAATGGCACATTCCCATCTTCCAAACACAATGAGATCATAAACAACATTACAGTTCGGTTCTTCTTAGCTTGTCACATGCAGAAAGCTGCAGCCCGGACAGCAAGGTAAACTTTGGATGTGTTTGCCCCACCTGTGGTAACACTATTCCCAAATCCTGGAACAAAACCTGCTGTTGTTAGCTGTTGATGAATTGGTTCTGACTCATGGCATCCTTGTACATCATAGAACCAAACGTTGCCCAGTCCTACACACCTTCATGGTCTCACTGGGATATTTGAGTCCATTGTTGAGGTAATTGTGTCAGTCTGCCTCATAGAGACACACCCTCATTTTCACTGACCTTCAACTTTACCAAACCCTAAGTGTGTCCATTGGTGTTCTCTGCCAGACATCACTTTGTGACCCTCCAAGATGGCGTAGGGTGCAGACCAACCTGGCCCCAAAGTCTTGGTGCTGCAGACATGCTTCTTCACTTGTTCAGAGACGACTCCCTTCTACTTTTCAGTTCACAGCCATACCTGCCCCACCTGTACAGGGCACTGGGAGGGCACCCTCTTGCCAATTCAGATGAGAGCTCAGTCACTGGTCATCATTCAGTCTTGCAGAAGAACCCTGGATTTCCTTCATCTTCCCAAGTCTTCCTTCAGAGAAGGAAGCATTGTTTCACTTAGAGCACCCTGCCACCTTGATAGGGTGGCTCCATATTTGTGAGTTAGGAATCAAGGGTGGGCAGGAGGTTTACCCTAAGAGGAATGCAAATTCAGACAAAAACCAAACTATTTTATCATTGGTTCAGGAAACGTCTTTGAATTTGGAGATGCTGTAATGTAAGACTCATACGGGGGTTGGAATTGACTTGACACCAATGGGTTTGGTTTGTGTGTGTGTGTGGTATAGGAGATAAAGCTTAGACTTGGGAGTCGGGCTTGGACTCATGCTTTCAGTTACTAACCAAAAAATCTTAGGCAAGTCACATAATCAATCCTGAGTATCAATGACTTCATATAAAATGCGAATCTTGTAGGGCTAAATAAAATCTGTATGTAACACACGCAGCACATAGGAGGTCTGGTTGAATGATAGCCATCTTTTCTCATTGTCTTCATCATCATTATTCAGAGGAACTTTCCTATTTCATCCACCTGGAAGGTGATTACTGGAGAAACAAGCCTGGTGCTCGCAATTCTTTCAACTTTTCTTCTCAGAGTCTTTGACATCTGTTGGTCTTCTTAGTTGCTCCAACTCATAACGACCTTGGGTATGAGAGAACAAAACATGTATGTATGAAAGAAGCAAACTTTGTATGTCTGAGAGAATGAAACATCGTATGTATGAGAAAACAAAATGTTGATAAGGAAATATATGTATGAGAGAAGGAAATGTTGTATGTATGAGACAAAGAAACTTATGTGTGAGACATTGTAATATTGTATGAGACAATGAAACATTGTATGAATGAGAGAGTAGAACATTGTATCTATGAGACAATGAAACATTGTATGCATGAGAGAATAGAACATTGTATCTATGAGACAATGAAACATTGTGTGTATGAGAGAATGAAACATTGTATCTATGAGACAATGAAACATTGTGTGTATGAGAGAATGGAACATTGTGTGTATGGGAGAATGAAACATTGTATCTATGAGACAATGAAACATTGTGTGTATGGGAGAATGGAACATTGTATCT